GGGGGGGGGGGGGCAGGAAACATCCCAGCTATGTGAACAATCGGGAATATCTGGCAGCACATTTGATCTTCAGTAACTTTATTTCAGTCAAAGTTGGGGCCTCCAGGCAGCTGGGAGGCCCATCCTACCCTAAGCCTGGTTCCAGGTACTGCCTTGGTGAGGGGCGCCTGATGCCCCAGCTGGCTCTGTTCCAGGTAGGTCCCCAGCAACACCAACTGCAAACTCTCATGGAGGCAAAGATGGAATTTTCCTCCACTGTCCCAAGGCTCTCCATCGCTTCCTGTCCCCTCCCGGAGGCAGAGACAGGAAGGAGCCTGGATGGGGTCACAGCAAGTCAGTGACATCCAGGGTTGGAAGGAGCTGCCTGGGCCACTTTATTCTCTGGCACCACAGTTCCTAATTCAAAAAACAGAACTTCCCAGGGACTTCTGTCTAGGAAAAGGGAGGAGGGGTCGTGGAATGGCACAAGACACAAAATAACAACGGGACTCTTTAACTCTTTCTGCAGCCACCTAAGAGGCCTGAACATTCAAAAAAAAGTTGCAGAAATACTGTGTTAACAAATGTAAACAGATTTAGAACCTTACAGGGGCTCACACTGTAAAGGTGTTTGAATGAAAACCCGTTTTTCAACTATAAACTAAGGATCCCATAGGCACTAGGCTTCCAATGAACATACACTGAGTCCAGGGTGATCCTGGGAAGACAGAAAAGGCCCTAAACAAAACTCTCTACCAGCCATCAGCCACTATCTTCAAAACCATAGTGCTGGCTCAAACAAGGCTGTACTCTCTCCCCTGTCGGGACTTTAGCAAGGATTTATGATATTTTTCCAATTGCTGGTCAAAGCCCCTGGAAGAGAACCTTGTCCGGAAAAGGTTCACTGGAGTCAGGAGGTATTTTAGTGCCAGGCCACTGAACTCAGGAGCGAGAAGAGGGACAGCCTTGCTGCTGTGAGACTGGGGTGAATCCTGGTCCCTCCACGCACACTGCTTCCCTGAGACTGCAGAGCCATCACTGTCTCCCCTAGGGACCAATTGGGGCCTTACACCAATTTCCTCCCCAGTTTCCAAAGAGAGAAATTCTTCATCTATAGACCTTAAATGAACTGAAAAACCCAAGGGGGCAGTGAGTACGGTCGCCACCTTCTGGGATTCAGAGGAAGGGACAGCCTCATCCCACTCTTTGCTGCAGAGGTCTGGGAACAACTGCTTCTTGGTCCGCAAAGGATGGTGGGAGGGCTGCTTCTCAAGGTTCCCAGAAAGGTCCTCATTCTTGACCTTCTTTGAGTCCCTGTCAGCTTGAAACTGATCAGCCTTCTCCTCGGGAGATTCAAACACGACACCCTGGGTTCTTGGCCTCTTAAGCCTCCTTTCTAACAGGCAGAGAACGCTTGGTTTGCTGGAGGAGGAACTCATGTACTGCTGGACAGAGTCCGGGATCGTGGGCACCGGGAGACTGGGGCCCAGGCTACCCTGAAAGCAGTCCCCATAGGGCTGTCGACTGACAATGGGCAGGACCTGGCAAGGCTTCAGTGCTGCCACGAAGGCACAAAGCTCCAAGTAGGAGGAGTGGTCGGAGTAAGGTATGACATGGATGTCAGGGTGGGAGCTGTGGATTTTCCGGCTTGTGGGGAGGATAGCAATGGTAGGGTGGGTCTGGTTCCAACGCAGCATGGCCGAATGGCAGATCTCCATGTGGCTCACGACATGGATGCGGCCAGCCTTCTCTTCCACTGTGAACACATCTGCCAGGCCCAACAGCTGTACCACCTCCAGGCGCTGAGGACTCAACACCACCCAGGTCTGCAACTCCAGGGCCAGCTTCTCCAGCAGGGACTCTTTTCCCAGGCTATAGAGTCCTGAATAATGGTAACGAGATTGGGGAAAGGAAGAGAAGGAAGCTACTGGGGAATCCTAATAAATCAACCAAATGTTCAACAAAAATACACAATTTAACAGGGCAATCAGAATACATCAGGGATAGGATGACATCTGACATGAGATGTATGGAAAATGGGAGTCGGGAAAAGTTAACATAGAATTAACTCATTCATTCAGTTCAACAAAGGGAAGCATTTACCAAGTGTTAGATACTGAAAACAAAGTCTCAGTCCTCTAGCAGTGTAACTTACATGGGAACCCAGAAACCATGTGGTTAAGGGCGATGTTAGAGGCCTGCGCACAGTATTATGAGGGCACAGAAAAGTATCTTCCAGTTGATGGAGTTAGAAAAAGTTTCCCGAAAATGACAACTGATATAAGTCTTAAAGGATGGGTCCAAGTTAACCGGGCAAGGGAAGGGGATGGCAGAAAACATTTTAAGAGGGGTCAGCTTGGTGTTATTAAAGCACAAAAAAGGAACTGGTAAGACACTAGACTTTTAATAAATAATTAGATAAAGATGTGACACATATATACAAAGGAATACTACTCAGCCATAAAAAAAGATGAAATACTGCCATTTGCGACAACATGGGTCATCTTGAGAGTATCACGCTGAGTGAAATAAGTCAGACAGAAAAGCACAAGAACCATATGATGTCACTCATATGTGGGATATAAAACAGAAAGCAACACTCCACAAGCAAAACAAACTCATAGATGCAGACAACAGAATGCTGGCGACCAGATGGGTAGGGAGTATGGGGGAAGGGGGAAGAGGGTAAATGGGGTCAAAAATATGGTGACGGAGGGCCAGTAGACTTTGGGTGGTGAGCACACAATGTAATATACAGATGATGTATTACAGAACCATGCACTTGAAACTTGTATGTTATTAACCGATGTCACCCCAATAAATTTAGTTTAAAAAATGACACTAGAGAGGTAAACAAGGGACGTATAATAGAGGGCACTGGATGTACTACTGCCAAGGAACTTGGATTTAATCCTGGAACTGAAGGGGAACCACTGAAGAGTCTGAAGAGGGAAAATGGTTCATTCTAACCATAGGAATAACATGATCAGAGCAGGTAGGGCTGTCGGGAAAAAAACACACCATCGCAGCATGTGATTCAACAGTTTGGGGGAGAAGACACTGAAAGCAGAAGTACCAGTGAGAAGGCCCAAATAGCACTTACACAGAGGCCTGACTTTGAGTAATGCTGTGGTAAGAGACACGGGACATATGTTTAACAGTTGGCCTCAGACCTTTTCTGGTGGTAGATTTCAAATCCACAACCAGACCATGAACTCCTTTAAAGACCTTATATAATTTATATGCACATTATCGCTATGGTTCAAAACCTCACTCTTTCGGCACAAATATTTATGAAATGCCTCCTCAGGTATTAATCTAGGCCTCTGGGATATATCCAGAATTAAAACAAAGAGCCCTGCCATTGTGGAACTTACAGTCTAGCAGGGGGGCACAGGTAATAAAAACTAGATACAATAAATACATAAATCATGGAGCCCACTGTAAGGCAATGAGTGCAATGTTGTTCTACATAAAACGAAGTTCTTGCCCTAAGAACAATAGTTGCATTTAGGATCAAGTTCAAAATGTCTTACAAGCACTTTGTAAGAAAGTTCCTTTCTCCTGCCTTTCCAGCCTCCTGAACCACTGTACGCCTATCACACTGGCTGCTGCTTCTCTGTTCCACAAACTCACAAGACTTCTTCCCACCTTCACCCATGCTCTCAAGGAGTTTTTGTGGGTGTGGGGGCTGGGGGCAGTGGGGAATAAGCAACAGACAAAAAGCAATAGCATATTAAAACACAGACTACATGGGACGGTAATGAGTGCTAGGAAAAAAATGAAAAAGTTGAATTAGTAGGGGATCAGAAGTAGGGAATGTGGGGGTAGGGATGGCGGGCAGATGGCGATTCTAGAGACACCCACAAAGAAGATAGTTGCACCCTCTATGGGTGAGAGAAAAAGGAAACCACTCACCAATCTTTACATCATGTTGTGGGTGCTTTCGAATGAGTTCGACAATCTGCTGGGTGGCTTCTTTTTGGGAGGGAAGAATCAGCGCTGGGTTGCAATTAGTGTTGTCTAGATATAAGGTATGGATCTGTTTTCCCACTCTCAGAGCTGGCTCCTTTAGCATGGACGGTATGTACCGGAAATCACCTGGGGACAGAGTCAGACAAAAGTCTAGAAGACAAGTCGCCCACCTCCAACAACTGGGCATTTGCTTTCTGGCTCTTGGAAAACCCGCAGTCTGGCACTGAACTAATATGCAGAGCATAGCTTCCTTGTGGAAATGTTTCTATCCTGCTCCTTTACAAGGTTTGGACCCTTAAAGAGTGAGAAATCGGTTAAGAAAGGGTCAACGCTCATATGAGATGAAGCTAGGAGGCCTCCTGACTTCTATCATGTGTTAAGCCTACTCAAGAAAGTAGTGTCTAAGCTGAGAAAGTGGGAGGGACTCCTGGGAGGCCCACCTGTGTAGAGGATGGTTCCAAAGTATCCTTCAAAGAGAAACATGACAGAGCCAGGGCAGTGATTGGCATCTATCAGGGTTACAGTCATGGTCTCTCTCCCAATTTCATCTAGAGGCAGGACATGACTCTCACCAACCTCCAGGGCTCGGATCCACTGCTTAGATACCTGAGGAAACAGGAGTTCATACCAGTGAACACAGACTTCCCTGGCCTGATGCCTCCCTGGACAGGGAGCTTATTCCTTTCCCGAATCAGGGAAAGCTCACCAAATGCTGAACCACCCTGGAGCAGAAATTGTAATGCAGATTCCCAAACAATGCCCCCTTCCTTCTCCCCTCCCTCTGTACAATTTTAAATTAAGAGTCCAGAAAGCAATCTAGTCAGCAACGCTCAAATGTTCCTGATCATAATAATCCCTGAGGGGGGGGGGG